TATCAGTATTGCAGGCTGAGTAGCAGCTCTGTAAATTCAAGATTTTAACACATAGAGATAGATGTATGAGCTGGCTAAATTTCACTGTGGGTATACGATGGCGGGATATTAACAGTAATTAAGAGAGAATGATTAAAAATTCTAGAAAATCTGATTCGAAAAAGATGACCAAATGTAAATTTTCCTGAATTCTAAAATTATAAGGGCATTTAAACATTACTAGGTATCTTTCCAACTTTAAAAGATTACAAACTTGAGCCCTAATAGAAGAATGCAGCACGGTGTTGCAGCTAAACATTTTTTCCTGATGTTGGAGCTAATCTTTCTTTTGTTAATCTGATTTGATAAGGATTAAATGAAGAATTAAAAGGAATAACTTTTAAGATTTTTACAGCAGAACTCATTAGAAACATTTTTACAAATCTGCTTCAAATAGAGTAAGAATACCTTTTAACAACATTCTGAAAATCAACCCAACCTTCACTCTTCTAGCAAGAAATTTCACTATTCCTTGCATGATAGAATTGTGAACCAATGGCAACTGTGTTCGTGGGAAAGTAAAGGAAGTCCATCTTTCCTGGAGGTTTACCTTCATGAACTGACTTGATGGGTAGAAACAATACTATTTTTTTTAATTGGGTGGGACAGATTTTCTTCATATGTGAACAATGTAAGAAATATTCCAATTGGAAGTAGCCTCCATCTGACATAACTCTTCCTGTAAAGTCTCTACAAACGTAGCTCAGATTCATGTCAAAGTCCAAGTTACGTTGTCGGTTTCAAAAGACAGGCTTCCTGTTCCTCCCAGTTACATAGTTGACACTACATTTTTCACACTCATTGTAATTAAGAGCTGTAATTTATACCACACGGACACCTGAGTCCTTGAACACCTCAATGTACTGGCTCAGGCTAACTTCCACAAAAGCCAAAGGAACACAAAGTGGAAGAGGAAAAGACAACAAACTGGCAAACATCAACCCCTTACTGTCAGCTAAAAACACTTCTCCAGTGCTAATGAAGGCTGTGCACGTTCTCCCAGCCACAGACTTCACAGACCCTCGACATACAAAATGATAGTCTCAGAAAAAAATCCTCTCTCTCTGTCTCCAGCAAGCTGCATGGCTGCCCAACCCTGTCATAAATCTGCCAGAGCAGTCATGCATCCATCTTCCCAACATCTGTTTTCTGAGTTGGCAATTGTTGGCATGATACAGCCTACCAAGTGCATCAAGCCAAAGAGAGAATGTTACACAAGGGGTCCGCAAGTTATGACAACTCCTCATTCAATCCTGAATCCACTGTAATTTTCTACAATGGATTTATAAAGCTTCTAACAGGGTAAGGGTCACAGAAGCCAAGCACTGCCTCCTTGCCGTTTGCCTCATGAGGTGACTTCTGCATGAGGTGACAGCAAAGCCTAATCTCAGGCTGCAAGAAAATCAGCCCCTTCCGTGACCCTCCACAAGCTCTGCACGTCACAGAAGAAGATGGCTGGGAGACAATCCCGTTCCCACAATTTTTGGGTGATACCACAACACTCGTGTTTTGCCAAAGCCTTCCCAAAAGCAGAAGAAACTCAGCAGCATGACTTAAATTTGCAGCTGTTACTGAACCGACGACTTTGCTGGAGTACCAGACGCAGACCCGAGGCAGATTTCTATGTTCTGTATATGCTATGCATGCCGTAGCTCTGTTATTACGGCTATTGCTGTAGAAATGCTGAATACAGTGACAGAAATGAGATATCCCAAATACGCTCCTCCTGGAAATCAAATCCTCTTTTTGCTTTTGGTCCCCTAAGCAACGCTCAGCCACTGTTCCTGACCGAAGCAGATGGGTCCCCCGGACTCAACGCTCCCCTCATCCCTGGATCCTCTCCTTCCCGAAGTTTTGAAACTTGGTTCTCCTAAATACATTGAAAATCTTCAACCAATCTACACCACCTCTTCTGAAACTTGGTTTCTTAATTACAGTAGCCATCAGCAATCCCACTTCAAGCCCTCCTCACTAGTAGTACATAAATAAATACCTCTGCCCACTGTCTACCGAGAAATATCTGCTACATTCGTTTGCTAATTCCGCTGAGTGGATGTCGCGGCCACT